GATGATTTTCTTCACTAGTGTGTTTCTTAAAAAAATACACAACCTCAACAAAACCTCATGCTCTTCATAAGTTTTCTAGTGAAGCTGTTGCTATGTGAATAAACACACAGCATGCGTTCTCAGGAATCCTGCATCATTCCACAACATACTGCTAACGTGAACTTGGTTACATGAGGCCGTGGTTTGTACACACTCAGAAGAAAGAACATAAACACAGCTGAGACACGTGTACAGCATATGATACTGATTATTGCTGACCAAGCTGCAGTAAAGTCTCCAGTGTAAATGGTGAGCCCTCTTTGTCTTTTGTAGGGCTGCCCACCACACATCATTGGATCAAAGCTCTCCACCCTTGAGTGGAACATCTCCGTCCTACAAATATGCTTTACCAGGAGCCCAAGATGCGAAGGATGATTTCCCACTTCGAAAAACTGGTAAGTTTGTTTCACAAGAACGCTTCCCTAGCTCTTCCAAATATATGCTTGTCATTTCTTTTCATGGGGCCTCTAGAGGAAATCTAAAACATATTGGGCCCATCTCACTCTTCCCCCAGTGTAAGCACACATGCACACACCCGCACACAGAAACACACACACAATTTTTATATCAGTTGGTTCAGTTTATAATCAGCGTACCTCTTAAATTTAAAAGCTTATTCTATGTAGATTTTAGGGAAAATATTACTTTGCCAGCTACCATTTCTTGGAAGAGTTAAGACCCTTGGGGTTTCTGCTCTTCAGGTTTCCTGCTGAGCTTTAGCCGTGTATTAATGAAAGACTAATGATAAATTTATTTTTGTTGCCATTGTTTGGAAGCACTTTAAATTTTAATTGTTTAAGTAGTAAAGCCAGATAAGGTACAGGGCTTAGTGCAAGTGTTTTTAAGCATGTGTCTTCCCTAAGGTCCCCAAGATTACAGGAGAAAGCAGAGTGATTTGCTTTGGGAAATTGGGACAAGAAAGTTTCTATCTGGAAGTTACCAAGTAGCTCTATGAATCCCAGGCCTGCCCTTATTTCCTCACCTTAATCTTTCTGAACACTTAGATATGTGCACACATAATATACTCTTACCATCCTAATAAATAAATGTGAACATTGGCTAAAGACAACACACATGGCGTGTGTGTGTGTGTACAGTCCATTTGAAACCTAGTACTAACTGAATATAATTCGTTAAAGAATTTTGTAGAATTAAATTTTTTTATATCCACACTCTGATCTGAAAAAAGTATTCAGACAGGATAGTTCAGTCCATTATATTTTATTTGGATCTATTGGAGGAAGTACAGATCTATATAATTTGTATATGAAATCTACAGAGTGAAATGCTTTCAAATAATTATATCATTTTCCCAAGCAATCTGGAGTAATTAAAATGGATATAGATTGTAAAAACACACGCTGAAGCTATTTTCTGTCGTATAATTTACCTGTAGCATAATGAAGCTTTAAAAATAAAATCACTCCTGAGTAAGAATTTATTACTACCCATCTAGCCCGCACTGTGCCTGGCACTGGGAAGGATGGCTGTGTATCACAAAGCCCTCCACACTGTCCTGTTTTAGTAGCCTAGCCAGGGCTGCAACAATGGGCTTTTGCATAACAGCAGTCTTGATGATCGCTCAGGACCAAGCAGTGTTTCCTCCCGTGCTGTACAGAGGAGGGTCGCCTTGGATAGGACCCGACTCGGTGGTACCTAACAACAGGAAGGGTGTTTAACAGGATGATAGACAGAGATAGAGACTTCAGTAGAAGTGTCTTTGGTACTTTATCAGCATTTCATACTCTTCTCTACAAGCCAGGATGCTTTTTTAAGAAAGAAATTTTGATTTAAAAACATAATAAAAGTGAGTGTCTATATATTACTAACACATGGACTATAGCTTAGGAAAATTAATTTAAGAAGGAGGTGAGCTTTAGCGAGCGGGAACTTTGATCTGCAGCCTTGCCATTAGTTCTACCAGTAGCACGTGTAGAACCGATCGACAGAGATGGTGTGGCTGTTGTTCCGGCCTCAGGGCAGTGACTGGCATTTCATAGCCCGAAGAGTGACACACGGAAAGAAAGAAAACACGCACCCCTGATGGTAGGAGGTCGCTGATGAGTGAGTACACAGTTATCCTCACAGAGAAGAGACTTCTGCCCTGCTGTGCACACAGCGGGACATATATTCCTACCACTGGGGTATTGAAAACTGACTGCAGACGAATAACTGACCCTCAAAAGAAATGCATTTCGAACCAGAATGGATCCAGGAAGAAAAGATTTTTTGTTTGTTTGTTTGCTTTCTACGGCCCTCACCTTGTGACCTACTGATTTCAGGAGGACAACCTAGGCCGTTTTCTTTGTGAAGAGTGGAAAGCAAACTCATAGGAATACTCAATCTTCCACAAAATTCAGGACAAACCCCACTCGAGATATAGATTCCAGTCTCTTACTCAGATTTGTATTACTCTGTAAGACATTTTCTGGGCTTGCCTAGACATAATAAGAATGAAAAGATGCAATCCTCGATTTTTCTGGTAGAATAGGTTTGTATGTGTTGAATATTTCATTTTTCTTCATTTAATATGGAAAAGCTGATATTGATGACCTTCAGGCTGTTGGTCTGTAAGCATTATTAGCAATAAAGTTCTTGAACAGATCTTAATATTTTTATATCTCGATAGGGGTTTCAAAATCTTCCTTCCTTCAATTCCCATGGTCTCTGTAGAAAAGTATAATATAATTGAATACAGATGTTTTCTACCCACTACCTAAAATACTTAAGAGATCCCCTTCATTAATTACAAGTAAGTGGAACTCTTCCAATTTTTATAAATAAAATCCTTTCAAAATATGTCCACTTCTATTGTGTGGAAGTTTAGCGGATATGTTTCCATTAAACAGATAAACACTGAAATATTGTCAAGTACTTTGACCTCAGCATTTGCTATAAGTTAGAAACCCAACTGCCTCTATTCACCCCTCACACTTTTACCACAATAACATATATGCGATGTTGGGGGAAAGCATTTGCTCTGATTTTTGCATGTGGCTACATCATATTAAATGAAACTTTGAGTAGTGACAGTGATCATACAACGGAAATATCAGGATAGCAATGAGAGACTTGGGTTTTTCGACTGGGGTTAAATCGACCAATCTCTGTAGTTTACTTGATTCTCGTTGAAATTCTTCTTAGGTTTAAAAGAGTGTCACATGAATGAATTTTATTATTGGACCTGCATCTAATACAAAATACTTTGAATTCTCTTTGAACCCCTGTCAGCCCTCAATCGCCAATATGTATCAGCATAATTTTAGAAAGTAAAACTGAACCCAGACCAAGAAAGTCCTAATGAGACTAAATTGATTAAAGCGGCCCCAGGGGTGTCCCTGAAGCAGTGAGCAGGAGTTGAAGGCTCTCTTGACCTTTTAGGGCTCAGTAAGACAGTGACCATCCAGAAACAGTCTGCTATAGAGGTCTCCTTTGCCTGCAGTCCTCTGACCTTTGTCATGTAAAGTGGACCTTTACTTCCTTCCCCTTAGGAGGATCTTAGTTGCTCCTAGAATCTGGGCTTGTTTGAAGCAACTGCGAAATACAAATAGATGGCTCTAATCAGACCCTTTCCTAATTCATATTTCTTTTAACTGTAGGAATTGAAAAATGCACTTACTCCTTTCAAAAAAAAAAAAAAAGAACTAACACCCACAGTTGTTACATAATTGGTCATGAAGCTGAAGATAAATAACTGTTCTTAATTTTTATTGTCCACCTTTAAAGTAAAAGTTCCTTCTAGATGTGTCCTCTGTGCATCCTTTTGTTTCTAAAGTGGAGAAGGTGGTAGTAAATTTTGAAATGTTTCTTAATGCTACACTTTTGGCTTAAAAAAAAAAAAGAGCATGATGTCATAGTCAACCAGAAAACCAAACTCACTGCCATCGATTTGATGCCAGCGACAGCGACCCTACCATTCAGCAGGGTAGAACGGTACCTGAGGATATCTGAGACTGACTGTACAAGAGTAGATAGCCTCACCTTTCTCCCACAGAGCAGCTGCTGGTTTTGAACTGCTGACCTAGGTACCGTTTGATTCTTTATAACATGCACTGCTGGACTGATAGTGAGCTGTAACATAGGGAAAGGGGCTTCAGGACCAGGCACGTTGAAATAGTACATATTTCTCACAGAGATGCTGCATATGTGGTGACTGTGAACTGACCTTCAAACCCATTTAAACTGGATTCAGTTCCAATGAGAGTGTGCATATGTTTCATAAAATATTACGGTAAGAAACTCTGGGGTTTTTATGCTCCATTATATTATTGAGGTCCTACCCAGTGAACTTGGCCTTTTTTTTAATACTGCAATCTTTCCATTTAATACCAACGAACAAAGTGAACCGGCTGGCTAGGTTAACCTCTTAAAGTGCGCAAGTCATATAAAGCTTGGCATCAGAAAATAGGTCTATTTCAGCCCCACTTGAAATATTCATTTTAATGGTGAGCAGCACTATTCTAAGACTCAGAGATGGAAAGGGTCCAAACATAAGGGTTATGGAAGGCCAATGTCATTTTCCACATTGAGTAAAATGTAAAGAAGGCAGAGAGGAGGTATGTAGCTTTATAAATCCCCCATTCAGTAAGGCAGTCTGCAGTTATGATGTGGTATGTTGGTGACCTTTTGTAGTTATTATAATCCAGAATTACCAGAAGGTTTTTAAAAAATGTTTTAAAATTTCTTACTTTTCCTAATTCTGTCATTCTCATACATGTTGTGTGTAAACACTCAAATATGCCCTCCTCTGTTTATGCACAGAGAGCACAAAGAGACAGACACTTTGCCTGTAAGAATGCCAGCCCAAAGTCTTACTCAGAATGACAAGACTTGAAGCATGTTCGTGTTTCTCAGTACCTGGTCAAAGTCCTCTTGTGACTAAATCTTGTTTAAAATGGTCGAACTGTCCTCCTCCTGAGAAAATGTATTCCAGTTTTCTCAAAATGCCTTTATCACAGGGGAAGCCAGGTCTTGAATTCCTCAGATACTTGCTTGAACCATCTTGGGTGGCTCATTGAGTCTGTGCAGGCCTCACTTTCCACATCTGTAAATGAGGATAGTAATTCCATCTGATAGTTACTTTGAAGATTCAATTAAATAACACATATAAAGCTCTTAGCATCATACTGAGGACTTAGGCTTACGCTTAGTACATCTTGACTTATTTTCTAGGTGATCAGCAATTAAGTTCTATGTATTTTCACCAGATCAAATGAAAACTTTTGGGTATGAAAAATTGATCTTTCTTTCTGCCACCTTTACCAATAAAACAAACATGAGAGAAAGAAATTTCCCCTTTAACCTGGCACATGATTTATGTAAAGGACATTATTTTAATTAATAAAGCCTGATTCTTCAGAGCAGTTTTGGCTCATAAAAAATTATATCAACTACT